TAGCTGTCCTCAGTTCAATTTGTCAGTACAGTGGTCTTCGACAACTGTTAATCATGTCGTTGTTGGCCTTCCAGCATACAGTAGACAATCACCTTCCTTCTCCATTCCTCAGACTGTGTATTATCATCCAAATTGTTTGAAATTTGCATTCTTATCTTATTCATAATTAAGAGTCGGGGAACCCCCCCCCAAAAAGAAATACTTTCTACTATCTACAACTTTAAACTTGTTTAAACTTGTCCAGATCTATTTATCCATCTCATACATCAGTATAAAAATATCACCTATGTATACATGGGAAATAAATTGGCAATATTGCGTGTTGATCATTATTAAATAGCCATAGTTTATGGATTAACAGAATTTTTTACACTCGTTTATGGCACAGTAAGAAATCTGTTCCTACCTTTCATTTTATTACTGGCCACGATTGCCTTTTGAAACATCTGCATTGAATAAATATTATACCAACCACAGTTTATAAATGTGCAACATTCATGAGAAAATGGATGCCTCACATCTGAGTCATTGCCCTGCACTTAATGCTGGATCACACTGAGAGAGATATTGGGAGGCGAGACACAAAATAGATTTACAGATTACACTGTGAACACTTTTTTGATTTTGATGTTTTCGTTCATCTTTGATTGTTCTGTCTACAATTGTCTTTGTAATATCGCACTGGAAATTTTTAAAAAAAATTACTAAATAGCCACCTTGCTTAATCAGAAAGTCTGGGATTGGATGGATTATCGGAAAGCACAGGAGGGCTATCTTTCTTAACACGCGAGAACGCGCATCGGGCCTGTAAGACCCAGTCGTTACAAAAATGTAATAAAAAAATTTCTCCCTTTGGTGAAATTTTTTTACCTTCTCAGTAGCTGCGTTTAAGGTCATGTACTTGTCATTCACAAGCATTTTCCGGAATTTAACCCTTCATCATTTCTCAGAAACTAAGTAACCGGGCTTCCCAGGCCCGAGGCAAGCACTCGCATTTTCATTTAAAATCGTGAAAGAGATCAGGCAGTTGCAAAAAGGTCTTGCTATTTGAGTTATGATGATGAAATGAAAAGACTACAGAAACTATTAGCCAAAGTGCCGGCTGATGAAGATACAATTAATGAAGAGGATGAAGAATAGTTGGTGAAGAACAGTTTAGTGATCACCAATAGAATTCTGAAGAGGCATTAGACTCAAGCGATGAATCTAGTAATGGATTAAGTAATTTTGTGTTCATCAGCGAATTGTTATCTTGGCAAAATATAATGTGACAAAATGGAATAAAAAAGAACCATGACTTGCTGCAAAAACTCTTGCTCACAACATTGTAAGAAAATTGCTCGGAAATGTTTGTGAAGCAAAATTTGTGTCCTCCCCTACTTGGCAACTGCTTATGAATAAAATAATAGTAAAAATTCCAGTACGTTGTGCAAACATTTATATCGAATCCATTGCCGTCAAATTTGGAAGATACAGAGATGCTCGATCCACAAATATTACAGAAATCAGATCATTTATCAGTCTTCTTTATTTTTGAGCATTCCACAAGGCTTGGAAATTGAATAAATGTTCACGTAAATGTTCTCGACCTTTGGGTGATTGACGGAATAGTGCTTGACATTTTTCATCAAACAATGTCTTACAAACGTTTCTTATTTCTAATGAGATGTTTGAAATTTGATGACATAACAGATTGTGTTTCTAGAAGGAAAATAAATAAACTGGCTCCGATAAGATATGCCTTTGAAAAGTTCATTGAAAATTGCAAAAACGTTTATAGTCTTAGCATAACGGACCGAAAATCACAAATTTTTTGTGCTGTGTGCGAGAAAAATGTTTGTGGTAAACACAGCACAATTATTTGCAAAAAAACGTGAAATGTAAGTTTTATTTTGAAATTATTGCTGAAAAGTTTAATATTGCATAAATTAATACTAAATTTCATTTGCGCTCAAAAAGAAATCAGTTTAATTTTTGTTGTTAATCATAAATAATTTCAGTCTTAAAATTGTTTTAAAATACAATTTTATTAGACTTATTAAATTAAAAGTATATTTTTATACACTCTGTTTTTATTACTTAAATGTTTTTCTTCAATTACACAAGCAATTTTATTTTTGTTTTGTTAAGAAAAACGCTGCGGGCCTACAGAGCTCGACGAGCGTCCTCGCATAGCTAAAAGTAACATGCGTCTTTGCGGATTAAGGGGAATGCCTTTTTGGAGTGCTTTCTATGGGTGAGTTAGAGTGCTGTCTCAGGGTTCATAGCCACATTTTAGTTAAAAAAATAAGCACCTATAAGCTTTTTTCAAGCACATTTTAAGAAAAAAATAAGCACCTGTCTAATTACATTATACACAACTGCATAATCTTAAAAATTAGACTTGTAATTTAAAATAATGAGAAATGGAGTATTTATTAAGAGAGAATAAGCATTACCTCAACCATGGAAAATAATTACTTTTTTTTTTAATTTTAAATAACAGTTCAATTTACAGAATTAGTTTACAATGAGAGGAAAAAAAACTATGCAGAACTAAACTATATTACAAGATTTAATGATGAAATTTCAGTTCAAAATAGAGAAAATAAATAATAATAAGGAATATTTATTGTATTCGCTTGGAACTTAATAATAAATACAATTTATTTTCCCACTCATATTGATATTTAACTAATTTAAATCTAAATTCTGAACATTTTCTAAATTTTCATTGTATTATCAGTTTTCCCTTAATAGATATTGCAAGCAAAGTAATTAAATAAAAAAGACGAACATTTCTGAAATCAGAAGACAGAAATTTGCTTCATGCAGTCATCCTTTAACAGTAAAAGCTTAACTAACACACATACTTGGAAATTGGCAAATATTCGGACAGTCCAGCGTAACTTGAAAAAGAGGAGCGGAAGGGGGGTAGACTGAAGCCGCTCTTAAGATTTTTCCGCTAAATAAATTTGACATTTTGATATGTGCATCGTATAAAAAAAAACCAATGGAACTGAAAAATATTCTGCTTAGCAAGCACAGTAAAACTCTTTTAAGTGTTCATAAACAAATCTCAGACAGAACATCAAAATTGATTATCTCTGCAAAATATCGCAAGCGTTATTGCGCAATACGCCGTAATTCTTCCCTACGTGATATTACGCAATCGGAATCAACAGCTGCCGGTATTGGAAGAATAAAGAACTAAATAACTGCGGTGTTTTTCACTCTAATTTTCAACAGATGGCGTTAAATTTCCGGAATAGAATCATTCTTTGCTTGGGTTGGTAGACCGCAGAACTTTTAGTCCTCAATCCAGATTGGCAAGTGACAAAAAAAAAAAAAAAAATTCTGTTGCTTGTTTTGCAGCGAACTGTAACCAACGAGATATATACTGATATGAAGTCGTTGACTGTAACAGTTCCAATATTCGAGATTTTGCGGAGAAAGGGGAGAACCTCCCAATTTTCGTACTGTAGAATGTATTGGCCAAAAAAATGAAATTATTTTGACTATTCGATTACTTTCCCTTTATTTAAGCCATTCCGAATATTATTCCTTAGAAAGCTAATCTGTGTTAAAACACAACCATTTCTGGAAGTTTACTATACTTCAGCAGTTACTGCAACTATGTTATTATAAACATTCATACATATGCTCATAATATAAGCACAATGATCATAATAAACACAAATATGAACTGACTAAGCGTAACGAGAATGCAAATTAAGATCTTGATAGAAATTCAAACGTGTGTAGTATTTGGGTGGGAGGAAAAGAATGCCGAATGTACCGGAATTTTCTACTGCATTCACAATTCTTTGACCAATAGAACGACGGGCAACTGTCTGAACTCTTCGTGCACACCAAAAGTTATGTTAATACAGAGAAAGGGGGAAAAACTATTTCCGGGAGTATGATTCACCATCTGACATTCCATATTAGGAAGAAAAGTTGTTTATTTAGTTCTGGCTTTGGTACAGGGAAAAATAGCGCGTTCATAAAAAAAAAAGCACTAAAAGCAAAAAATAAGCACTAAAAACAAAAAAATAAGGGCTTTAAAGAAAAAGTAAGCACCTATAAGGGCCTTTATATTTTATTTTCAAATATATAGACTTATAAGGACCGCTACAAAGCCTGTGTCTTGCACTCATGTTACAAATGAGGAAAACCATGAAAATTCCCATACAACCGCCTATTCACTGTGACTCAAACCTTAGTCAAATTACCAGCGTTCAGTAATTTTATTATTTAGCCACTGGCAGATGTTCTTAATCAAAAAGATAAATGTACACTATTCACACATCATAATTTAAGCTAGTTGATAAACCAACTAAATGAAAATTTCAAAATACATTTTAGGATCTAATCAAGAACAGTAATATATTACACAATCTTTCACTGATTTGAAAATTATAATCATGTAAATTTTAGAATTGTATTTACATTGTTTTACATTTTAATTTATATTGTAACTTTTAGAATTCAGTTTTCATATATTGTATGAATTTAAGTTAACTAAATTACATACATGGCATAAATTTTTATGATACGAGGTTTTATATGATTTATCTGCTTACTTCAAACCAAAAAATATTAAAGAAAATTGGCAATGCTATCTAAGTATCACAACATTTAGTGCATTTTCAATAAAGAAAAAATTAAGAAAATTTTCAAGTTTCATAAAATAATTATTAGATATTTTTATTTATTAAGGATTAAACAATCCTCAATAAATAAAAATAAAAACTGCTCATGTAACCAGCAGTTTAATATAGCACACCATGTACACTGGGGGGGGGAGAGAAAAATTTAAATTCCGGTTGAAATGCAAATCCACTTGTTGATATAAAATGTACAATATGTTCAACTGCAATCCGATGCAAAAATATAACTGCAGCTGACTGCAATTCAAATATAAAACTGATTATCAAAACTGCAGTTTTTAAAACACTTTTTTAAATGTTCAAATCTTTTAAAAACAATTTTAATCCAAAAATGCATAACTTTATACAAAAAACAGCAATTTCATTAAAAAAGACATTTTATTCTTCATAAAATATGTTCTGTTAATTTTTGTGATTAATTAACCGATACAGGAATGCATAAGACGTATTGAACAACATAAATTCCTATTTATATATATTTGTATATTCATAAATATGTATATAAAGTAGATATTCTGTTACAATAAACATTTCCGCAATAAATGCCAAAATAAATATTATATAATTGTCTAAAATACAATATATCACACATTTTTTTCCAAAATATATTCTTTCAAAAATATAGTTACCAACTATGAAATAGTGAATTACAATAAATAACAGGAATAAACAAATCTAATAACTCAATTGTAAATTAATCTACATGAGACTGTTTAGAAGAATTAGATGCAATTCTTCTTCGATCTAAAATTGAAGAAACATGACCACTTCCTTGACCTTGGTATTTCTTTTCAATCACCTAATATCAAATACAACTAATGTAACAAAAATTAAAACTAATTTAATACATTGTTAATATTCATTTGCATGTATTATGAATGAAACAATCTCAAATTCATGAAGGTAGAGCCTGAATTTCCCTAAATTTAGAAAAATGCATCTTCCAAAACTAACTATTAATCTACAATAAATAAGATATCAATATTTTTGAACAACAGGAGGGCAATATTTGGATTCTTGAATTATTAATTTTTGCATAATATTTTAATTAACTATAAAAATATAATTCTGAATGAATCAATGTCTTTAATATGACAATAAAAATGTGATATATCAAACCACAATCTATCTGAACAAATCAAAGTAATGAAACAGCAGAGAAAAGAAAATTTTGCTCCATTAAAAAATCAATTTCAAATGAAAGGAAATACAACCTAAAGAACATTCATACAATGAATAAAATATTATGTTTCAATGATTCTCCCACTAGTAAACAAAAGTCTGGTTAATAAACAGCATTTTATAATTTTATGGTAGTAAATAAACAATAATTAAATACGAGGGCTATCCAGAAAGTAGATTACGTTTTGGAATAAAAAAATAAACAAAGTATAGGAAACAAATTTTATTATATACAGATGAAAGCCACACTCAAATACTACTTTTCTACATAGTCACCATACAAATTAAGGCATTTATCGTAGCGATGTACGAGCTTGGAAATTCCTTCGTCGAAAAATTCGGCCGCCTGCGCCTTCAACCACTTCGTTACCTCTTCTTGCAGCTGTGCGTCGTCATCAAAACGCTGCATAGCCAGCCACTTCTTCATTGCTGGAGTTTGGCAATACCTTTGAGAGTTTATTGTAGTGCCTCTTTCCAGGAAGTCCACCAAAATTACACCTTTTCTGTCCCAAAAAACAGTCGCCATCATCTTCCTTGCCGACATTGTTTGCATGCATTTCTTGGGTTTTGGGGGAGAACTTGTGAGCCCCCACTGCATTGATTGCAATTTCGTTTCACAGCTCACATGTTTCACCCATATTTCGTCACCAGTAACGATGCGATCGAGTAAAGAGTCACCATCCTTATGGTAAGCGTCCAAAAGTTCAACGCTGCAGCCATTCGCTGATTTTTGTGGTCCTCTGTCAAGATTTTTGGAATCCATCTTGCACAAAACTTGTGGTAACCAAGCTTTTCGCTGATGATTTCGTGCAACAAACTTCGCGAAATTTGTGGAAAACTCAAAGAAAGTTCCGTTATTGTGAAATTTCGATTTTCACGGACTTTAGCATCGACTTTTTCGAGAAGTTCGGCGGTCACTATGCTGGGTCTCCCACTTCGATCTTCGTCGTGAACATTGGTTCGGCCATTTTGAAATCTTATGACCCACTGACGTACTCCACCTTCAGTGATAATGTTGTCCCCATACACTTCACGAAGCTGCCGATAGATTTCTATCGGTTTACAGTTTTTTGCAGTCAGAAACCTTATTACTGAGCGCACCTCGCAGGATTTTCAATTAACGCAGACATTTCAAACCGTCACAGTATCTGAACGGAGCACAGCACGAACCTCTCACTAGCACGGCTAGATGCAGACTGAGCTGCGCAACGCTCTGACCCCAAGATGGCCGCGCTAGCCCCGCCCCTAGCGGACACAGACGGAAACGTAATCTACTTCCTGGATGGCCCTCGTAGATAAAACATAAAACTTTTTTTATATTGTCCTAGTTAATATCAGTGGATAAAATAGTAATATATAAAGTGAATAAAATTCTTATTGGAGGCTATTTGTTAGATTTTTCAGAGAGACTGACTAATGTTTTATTGCAAGAGTTTACAGATGTAAATGTAGATCAGAATATTGCATGAATTGGTACAACTCTGGCAGGGTTTCTGCTGTTTATGGTTCGATAATAACCAACTTTTATGGTCAATGGGAAAATATGGAAGCACCTATACTTTTTATGATTAGGAATATTAATGAATAGACTTTGATACTGTTACCTTGAAAAATACTGTTAGGGAAAATAATATTTTTATATATTATATATAGATCTATAATTACTCTGAAAGAAAGGAAAAAAGCACTAATCAGCTTTACGAAATGCTAAATATTTCAATACTTTATTGCATGTTACATTTATATATATAGATAGATATTATTTTCTATATGTGTGTGTGTGTGGTGTTTATGTAAATTTGTACAGCTTATGAATACATGCATATATTCCAATTAGCTATGCAAAGATACCACATAACAATAAATTCTTACAAATATGCATCTAACCTATTTATTAAACATTTCACTGCTTAATGTAAAACTTATTTCATAGGAATTACAGTTATGAAAAAAATCTAACTATAACAAATAATCTTACTTTATCAAAATATCTGCTAAGCTTCACAGCATTACTTGAACCTGGTGCAAAAGAACGTGTCTGTCTACAGTCCTGAAATAAGTTCATAAATATATTTAATGCAAAATCTAAAGCTGCAAAAGCAAATATTCTATTACTTTATACATTTTTCCATAAAAGAAATTAGTAATTATACATATAGTGAAAACAAAGTACGCTTCAATACATATTATTTACATTCACAGTTACACATTAACAAAACCTGTAGTACTGTACTGTTTTAAGGACATTAAAATTTTGCCACCTTCCAAAGAAAGTGTTATATAGAAATCAGATAGTTAACCATGTGTGAAATATAGTTCTTCACGTAGAGGAATTATAGCAAGGGGTACCTCTGCATCTCATACAAAAAGGTTATTATAATGAATGGCCATATCAATGAAAACAGACTTAAGAGACTTTCAAAAGTTAGGGGCCTTTTGTAGCAGTCATTGTTATGGAATGGTCTCTATAACAAGTGGTCATCATTATATCAGCTGTATTATGAATAACTTCATTTTTAATTTTGAAATTATGAGAATTTCTAAACCAATAATTACCATTAGCAACAGTATTAATAGATCTGATAATGCATACATAATTAAGGCCTTCTCTTCCCCAGTTCCAATATGAACATTACTTACTACATAAATTTCATCAGCACCACATTCTTCTGCAATTGAAGCAGTACGTTTAGTTCGACCAGGTGGATAAACTTCTAGTACAAGATCCTGCTTTGTCCCAATCACAAGAATTGGAATTTGATTGTCAACAAATTGTTCAGAATCATAATTGTACCTTAAGCAGAAAATAATAATTAAATATAAATATTTCTTACTACACAACACAGAAATATCAATTAATATTAAACATCTTCACTTTACATGCAAGACCTACATTTTAAAATTAATATACTTTACATATAAAATTGAAAATATAAATCTGAAATACAAACTTTTCTCAAATAAAACAGAAATTTAAAAAAAAACACCTAGAAAGATTAAAATATACGGATTTCAAATACTTCGCAGTGCTTAATCATATTAGCCTAATAAAATAAATTGTAAATGCTTGGTTTTGGTCTTGTTTTAACAAAAACAGTTACATCTAATACTTTTAATAAAAATACATACTATATTTAATATAATTGGTACTTTTGATTTAACTTTTACTAAAACTACAAAGAAGAAAAACACATATCAATATTTAGCTTGCATATGTGTGTCTATCTATCTACATGCACATACACATGTATAATGTAATAATAAGTAAGGCATAAAATACCAAAGGAAATTTAACTGGCATACTAATGCTGCAACCAATAATCCAAATATTTAGATGCATAAAAGTATGTACATGTACAACAGAGTCACTACAGTTCCTCAAATGAATTATAGTTTCACTGTCTTGCAATGAGTAACAGCTTTGCATAATTAAATCATGGTACATTCATTATATTAGATATTCTAGTACACAGGAATTTTGGTTGCCAAATCTTTGTTAGTAAATAAAAAAGAAATTGTATGCATGTGTATGCTCCTCACATTGTGAAATAACAGTTGAATCTACATCTACTGAATTCTAAACACATATAGTCCTCCACTTAAACATGCGCACCTTAAAAGCTCAAATTTTGAATTTTGAATTTATTTTTCATTCATTTTATATTTCATGCAAACTTAATGCAAGTTTTACTCACAAACTCACAGATTTAAAAGTAATGTGCTCTCACTCGGCAAAGCATAAATTATTTATCTTTTGAATTTAATCAGCAAACTGAGTAATTCAAAAGAAAAGTTTTGCCACTGCAAGAAATAAAATATTTTTTATTTCCCATGTGGCAGTGTATCATCATTCAGGAATGTGAATTCGCTTTTTCCTTCAAATTTAATCTGCCAATTATTAATTAATAAACTATTTAAAGGAGATAAAGACAGTTCTTCATCTCAGTTATTAATTAGAATCTGGATCTGTAAAATTACACTAGTTGCACTTTCTAAAATCAAGATACTTTTTTCTTTTTTATACAGTCAAAAGTCGTTACTCCGGACTCGTCGGGACTTCGGCGATTCCGGATTATCGATTTTTCCAGATATAGATCATCAGTTTAAATTTGGTAAGATGGCATGCAGAAATTATAAAATTAAAAATATGAAACCGTAATTTATGAAATAAAGAACAATTATGATCTAAAGGGTATCAAAATTTACAAAAAAAAAGCTTAATATTTATTTGTTTACTTTATTAAACATTTCTTTCAATGTAAGTTGTTTAAGTTGCTTCGTTTTATGTGATAATACTTTCTCTTTAATTCTATAAACAGACATAACTTCTTACAAAGTTAGTTACAAAGTTCCGCTGCTCAAGTCCTATAATTGCTGTGTCGAGAATACCGACTAATTTGTCAATCGAAATTTTTTTTGTTTTGAATAACCTCTATGTCACTTTCTTCACTATCGGAAGCGAATTTTAATGACGAGGAATTTGATTTAAATCATATCAAAGACGGAGTACATCGAGATGAAATACTACATTTAGTAAGGAATTATAAGCCAAATAAAATAAAAACGTCTGCCCTGAAGATAAGGATAGTGCTGACAGATCAACTTCCAATTCATTGCGCGCCGCAGCGTTCCCCTCCTCCCCCCGCTGCAGAGCAGCATGAAATTGATAAACAGATTTCGGAATAGTTAGAGAGACGAAGGATATGCCTTTACCCATTTTTTGCAGCAATTCACTTTTTATTTAATGGACTTCGAAACATACTTTCGCTTTGTACATCCTTTACATATTAGTAAATATATATCGGAAATTCTATTTGACATAATCGAAAGTTCAAGCTTACTTTTATAAAATTGCTCTAAAAGTCTGCAAAAAATAATAAGTCAGATCCAATTCGAAGATTAAGAAACAACGCAATCTGCAACATTAACTGAATTAGATAATTTTAGCTTAGCTTATACCATCCATTATGCATTAAAAGCACCTGCACACACGCATATTTGCAGCAGTAAAGGTCTTACATGCGTGCGTCAACGCGAAGCATACGCAGAAAGTTTTGTTGGAAAATATGACTTACTGTAACCCTTTTTCTGCATCATCTCTACTCCTTGAAATATTTATTAGGCTTAGTTCTTATTTTTAAAAGGGATATAGTAGTTACTTCTACTTCTTTTTTCACTGCCACTGTTTGTGTTGAGAATGGACTGTTTCGGCCTAATTGAGATGCAAAAACGAAACGTGATGTTACATCATCTGGAAAGCCGAGTTGTGCCGATAGCTGATTGGTTGCCGTGAGATGACGTCATGCCTACTGCTGGTATAAATATTTCGCGTCGCTCTGGCTCATTCTTTCTAGTTCCTGCTTTCTTGGATCTTGGGTGTGCAGTTTCCAGCCCCTATTGAAAGCCGTCTTGCGATGCGTGCAGTCCGGGGATAAGTTCCTAGGTTCCAGTCTACAAGATGGTTTATCCCGAATAAAATTCCGAGGTTCTAGTCTACAGGATGGTTTTTCCCGAATAAGTTATTTGGTTCCAGTCTACAAGTTGACTTTTCCGGAATAAGTTCCTTGGTTCCTGTCTACAAGATGAGTGACTGCCGTGGGCGGCATCCATGTTCTTCATGAAGGCGGCATTTAACATAAGTTAGCGGCGATGTTTTACTGGGCTATGATTCCTCGTGTTCAACTACAGTGAGCGGAGTTAGGCCGGATTTAAGTGCCCTCAAGGACTTAATTTAATTTTCAGGTGCTTTTTGATCATTAAGCGTGGATCTATTGACAGTGTAGCTAATTTCATTTAAAACCGCATAATTTCTGTTTAGGATACGTTTTTCGCGTATTGAATGCCAGTATTTTGGAGACCAGGTAAAATATATTTAATATATGAAATTTTGATAATGATGGTTATATTATAATTTTCTAAGTTACTGATATTGTTTAAATTTATTCATTGTGTTTTTATATTTTTATATATATTGTTAATAAATTGGTTAAGTTTGAAACCTTTTATGTCTTCAATGTCTTCAATGTCTGCACAACATATAATCTTAGGGAGCTTCTATTGCTACTGCTGCTAAATGTTTAATTTTATAAACTTTAAACTTTGCTTTTGCATCATTTTGGTTATGGGCCCAGCCCCTGAGTTATTTTTAGTGCAGACTTTTGAAGTTTAAAGTTAATTTAGGACTTAAGAGATGGGGGGCGGTTTTTGTTGAAAATTCAAATATGGCTACTGTTAGTGTCATGCATAATATTGCTAAACTTGAGGCATGTAATTATTTTACATGGTCCAAAGATATGAAGTTTGTCTTAAATGAGAAAAAATGCATGGCTTTTGGTCAAGGGTATTGAAAAATGTCCTGATTTAAATGATGTTAAGGGTATTACAAAAGAAATTATTGCCGACTATCAAAATAGAAGTCGATTGGCATTATCTTTAATTTATATGAATGTAAGCCCTGAATATAGAAGCTTGATAAGTGAAATTGATGACCCGGTAGTGGCATGGAATACGCTTGCCAAATACTTTCAGCCAGATTATCGATCAAGACATATGTCCTTGTTTTCAGAGTTCTTAAATTGTAAAATTAAGCCAAATGAAAGTATTAGTTTCTTTTCTTCTAGATTAAAACACGTAACTGAACAGTTAGCTGATATTAATCAGGCTGTAAGAGACGTATATATATGTTTCCAGTTTCTTAGGTTCCTTCCAGATAAATTTGATCAAGTAGTTCAGAATGTTTTGAGGTGGCCAGATGAAAAGTTCATATTTAAAAATGTTGAACTTGAAATACTAGCAGAGGAAACGCGTCTTAATTTAAGAGAGATAGATAGGGAAAATTCCAATAAGACTATAGAAGTTCAAAGTACTAACTGTGAACCCAAATTTAAGCAGATTAAAGGGCTCAAGTGTTATAAATGTGGCCGTCCAGGTCATATTCAAAAATACTGTAGAATGAAAGGTAATTTTTCCAGATCACCCTCACCTGCTTCTTCTGTTTCCTCAGATGTATCTAGTAGTAATAAAGCATCTCCTAAGTGTAAGAACAAACCCAAGTTGAGTAAAGGTAAAAATTATTCCCATGCACAGTCCCATTTTATAGCTCAAGCTAATGTTAACAATTTGGAGGAAAACGATGATAGTTGGATTTTTGATACTGCAGCATCTCATCCTTTTTGTAAAAATCGTGAATTGTTTGATACTTTTTCTCCTGTGAAAAATGAGAATATGCTAGTAGCTATTGATGGGGTAACTTTTCCAATTCATGGGAAGGGTACTGTTAAAATGAAATTTGGGGATACGGTTATTTTGCTTAAAGATGTGTTATACTCACCTGAACTGAGACGAAATTTAATATCTGGACCTAGGGTGGATATCAATGGAGCAAGATTTTATGGTAAAAATGGGCAAATTAAAGTTACTGATGATGAAAATGAAACTTTGTACAAGGCTAAGTTGATAGGAAGTAACTATCATGTATTCCCGAAAATAGTGAAAAAGGGGGGGCAAATCTGTGAAAATTTGAGGCATCCACAGTTCAGCATAACAATAGTGAATTATGGCATGGTCGGTTTGGTCATATAAATTATGGTGCTATTGTCAGGACTAGTAAGAGACATTCAGTTCGAGGTCTTCCTGTGTTAAAGCACTCACCTAATTTGTTTTGTGAACATTGCCAAATCAATAAGCAAAGACGAATCTCCTATAGACCCTTAGAAGGTATTCAAGTAAAGAGGCCGCTTGAAAGGGTTTTTCTGATGTATGGGGACCTATTAACATTCCAGGTAGGAATGGTGAACGTTATTTCATTTCCTTTATTGACAAATATTCTCGTTAT